CCCACGAGGCGATCACACTTGGCTCGTGTCCACTTTGAGAACTACATCTGGAAGCAGGCCTCTGAGGCGAGTAGAAGGCGTTCCACCCCGCAGAGCCAACCCAAGCTCTTCTTTGGGTGAGAGACAAGTGGATCCCACCACAGCTGGTCTCTCCTCAGCAGTTCAACACGGCAACCATGCCTCTGGGCCCTCCTGGCCCTCGGTTCCTTCCTCAGGGGAATGGAATGAACTCATAAACCGAGAATCGGAATGCACGTTGGGTGACTTATGGTCTGTCCATGTGTGCTCATCTTCTCGGCCAAGTTGGCTAGGTTATTTCTTGCTGCCCTACTTGCCTGCTTGCCGTTTCCTTTAAACCCATCCACGGCTCTACACATTCAGCTACAAGCAGCCCAAAGAAATAGAAGGCAAAAGGAAAACCATGCCTTCAGAAGCGCTGGGCAAGGTCAAGGTGGAAGCTACTGGCTTATGTGAACTTTGGGGATTACCTCTGTATTTCAAATATCCATGACCACTCTTCCATCAGCCTGGATCACTAACGACCCCTGTGCCATGGGGTGCTTAGGGATAAATGTTGGGCAGGTAACTTCAAGGTTGGTGGTTCAAGCCCACCAGCTGGCAAAAGATGAGGCTCTCTGCTCCTGCAGAGTTACCACCTCAGGAACCCTGCATAAGGTCACTAAGAGTTGGAATCGATTCTATGGCAATGGGGTCAATTTAGATGGTGTGTGTGTGTATGTTATTCCTTGGTCTTCAACACAGCAATGATGGTGTTGTTCTGTTGTTCTGTCTCACTCACTAATGAGTCAGAGCCAACTCAGCTCTGGTGATGCAGGGAGTTACACACTGGGCTGCTAACTGCTCCCAGGTCAGCAGTTTGAAACCCCCAGCCACTCTATAAGGAAAAGATGAGGCTTTACACCTGTAAAGAGTTGCCATCTCAGAAACCCACAGGGGGGAGGTCTATTCTATCCTATAGGGTCATTGTAGGTCAGAATCAACTTGAGTAAGTCCGTGATTAAATGCTTGGCTACTGAGGCAAAGCTCGATGGCTAAACACCACCAGTCCCTCCTGGAGAGCAAACTGTGGTTCTCTGCTTCTGTGAAAATCACAGCCTTGGGAACCCTATGGGGCAGTTTTACTCTGCCCCCAAGGGTGCCTATGTAGTCGAATGGACTGGATGGCAATGGGTCATGCCTTCTTTTGATCATTCTAGACCCTGTGTCACACACACAGTAAGGGGTTCCTGAGTACTCTTACACAGATGAGCGATGGTTGGCGCTTGCTGACAGAGAATCCTGGACAAATCCGATCACAGCCCTGGGCTGCTACTGGACCCCACGTGCATCTGTGCTGGTAATATCCTCTTATTTCCCTGTCCGTTGGCTGTGGAACTAGTGAGAGCGTCCTTTTTGGATATTTCCGCTCTACAGCTGACTTCAATATTGGCCACTCTGAGCTTTATTTTTTCATTAAAAAAACTGTTGTCCATGTGAAACCACAGTTGGGAATGGACACAATGCCTTCTAGAAGTGCCATGGCTACAGATGGGGCTGGGGCGGCCTCAGGCCAAGTTTGAAGGAAGGTCACCATGAGTCCAGTTAACAGATGACAGGGATCTACAGGGCCGAGCAAGTTGGCTGAACACCCATGACCTCAATGGGGAGGGAGTTCTTTCTTTCCTATTTGCTGCCGAGGACCTCGCCCTCTGGGAAGCAGCTCTGTGCATCCCGACCTTCGGTGCCTTCAGACTTTTCTGGCAGCTGCTGGAACCAGGGATCATCTTTTCAGAAATCTGTTTGGCGTCATCCCGTGACTTATCTTTCAGGCTTCATCACAATTATTCATGCTTTGGCAGTATCCTAGCTACAGTCACAGGCCTCTCCTTAGGCTGGCACTGAAGATTACTGGGTCCCAGCTGATGGCAAAGGAAGGGACCGATATCCCCACCCCCCACCCCCTCCTTGGCTCCTGGGGCTTCTCGCCATAGCTGGGCCTTAAAGGCATCTGTTCAGAAACACATTCAAACTCCAGCCCTTATGAACTGGTAAAGGGGTGAGGATAACACAACACAGTAAACTGTCCCGGCAGCAGGAGAGAACGTGGCTGTAGAAGCCATTTCTAGGCCCACTCAGGCTGACTCAAATGCTAAGCCCCACCAGCTGACTCGGGAGCAAAAGCCCCACTCCTTTACCTCCCCGCCAGCGGGGCAAACTCTTTGCTGCTTTCACTCTCTCCAGATCCGGCTTTTGGTCTGTGGCCTGCGTTTCCGGCTTTATATATTTGAGGTTACTTTAGCTGTGACCTCACATCCTGACCAACTGCACAGTAGCTGCTAATTGCCAGCGCTCCGCTAATGGCCCATGCGCCTGTCTCCGCATAAGGCGACTGGGTTAGAAGCAGCCAAATCCAGAAGATAATCAGCTGGCATGGTTAAGAGCAGGGGCTTGGATTTTGATCTTGCAGTAGTGATGTTTTCCCTGGTTGAATGGGAATCATAATAGCTCAGACCTCATAGGGTTGTGGCTAAGATTAATTGAATCACGTTATGGAAATTACTTAGTACCATGCACCCTCTGGGTATAACGACTATTCCAAGACTCCAGGTCCAGGACCTCTACAGTCCAGTATCTTATAGTCTACAGACATGGCTATAGATCCTGCTTCACATCTACCTCCTTCTGCCGGGCCGGACACTTCCTGCAGCAAGTACTCCTTGGATGAGCGGAGCGGACGGAAACTCACAACACTTTGTCCTGACGCTTCTGTTTTTCTCATCTCGTTCAGGAAGGTGTGGGCATCTTCGCCAAGTCTCACACCTTGCCTTCCAGGAGAACCTGGGCTGGCACATACTAGATGCACAATTAGAGTTTCGGTTGCCCACCCCAGCCCCCCTAACCCCTCAGCAAAAGGCTACACAGCAGAACAAAGGGTCTCTTTGGGTTTGCAAAACCTTCCCTTTCTGTTCCAAAATAGCTTTCTTGTACATCAAAGCGCTTCTGTGACGGTGGCATAGCCGAAGCCCATCTGATGAAAGCACACAGAGATAGGCAGCAGTGACATTTCCCTCTCCATGATATTCCCACAATCCATTCCTTCCCTCTCTGCCAAGACATTCATCCATGCTCTAGTGATTTTCCACATTGTGGCCTTTTCTATCATCTTTCTGTTTGCAGTCCTTCTTCACCACTTAACTTCCTGGCCCTTCTCTGTCCAGGGCATCAGCGAGTTCCCTCAGTGGGCTGTTCTCTTAAACCCCTCTTGACCCACACACAACTCTCACACCCTCACTACTACCATCTGTCCCTCTGTCCCCTGCCAGTCCACTGCTGTCTTCAGTCTCTCCTTGCCGGGTCCAGGGATTTCCACCTGGAACTTTCTGGACCTCCTGTGCACTCATGATTCACACACCGCCTCCCCTGCATCTTTTCATGCCCCTGTGGGTCCCCAGTGCCTTATGGCCAGGGATTATCTGCTTAAACAGAAACCCTGTCACGTGTTACGGCAGTTTTATGTATGAGCCCACAGGCTGTGACCCCGTGGCGTACATATTAAATAATAATTGTATCTCATGGATGGGAAAAAAAATCAGTCACATTAACTGACGACTTCTTCCGAAAATATAAAAGTCACCCTGACCACAAAACTTGGGATCGGGCCATTATTAAAAATAAAGAAGAGCATGAATTGCTCCACAGGTGGTTGCAGGGGCAGAAGGAACGGTTGGTCCTTCTGGACCCTCTAGACTTCTAGAGGCGAAAAGACCCCAGCAGTAGGGAGAGCGAGGAGAAACTTGGGCTGGGTGGCAAGTGTCAGAATGACATTCTCAGGTCTGCCCGGCTCTGCACAGCAGTGCGCAGCCTCTCGGAGCCAGACTCCCAGGAACGACAAAGCCGCATAAATGAAAAGAATTCTGGACAATGACAATGCTCTTTTCTTTCTGTCTGTCTCTCTTTCTTTCCTTTCTTAGTAGTCTGTGCGTTTCCTATTACATCCGTTTCATGATTCCGCATTCTCCATTCCCTTTAGTTACAGTCGTAAAGAGTGACATGACCCAGGTGGCTGCAGGATCCTGGAAAACGAGGTAGGCCGGATAAGGAAGGGTGTTGGTCACCTGCCACAAATGTACTCCTGGTCAGGAGCACTCCAAACAGAGGCCAACTGCCATGCAAGGAATTGACAAATCTTTCCCCAGTTGGTTCTGGGGGTCTGAATTGCACTGGTCTTTGGAATGTGTAGGCGCTGATAAAGAGGTGAGGAACAGTTCGCTGACAGCTAAGAGAGAGACCCAGAAGTGTGCAAATGGGACACCGGCACACAGAAGCCAAGCAAATGGGAAACCGGCACACAGAAACCCCAACAGATAACACGCAGCTAAAGTCACCAGTCTGGCGGCAGGCGTGTTACAAAGAACTCGGGTTCTTTCTGGCATCTGCAACTTGGTTGGAGTGACCGAGAAGCGCTCTGGCTGGAAACAGGAGGCTGGTTCCTGTCGGGGTGCGTTGGCAGCACAAGGTCCGCCGGCAGAAACTACAAGTTGGATCGAGAAGGGAACGGAGAGAAAGCAAGGAAGTTGGGCATAGGGAAACCAGGAGCTTCAGGAAGATTGGGAGGGTGGCCGGAGAAAGGTGCCGAGGGGAGTGGGAGAGGGGGGTGCTGAAAGCCGGACACGGCGGGGCGCAGAGGCAATGCTGGGGCGGGAAGCGAGACTACCAGGTGCCTAAGGGGGGCTGGCGCGATGGCCCCAGGCAGGAGCGAGTCTGGGAGGCAGTGGAAGGAACTGGAGCGAGAGCGCAGCGCTGCAAGTCCGGTCCACGCGCCCGGGTACCCATCCCAGGTGCCGGGAACGACCGGGGCGCAGCGGCAAGGAAGCGAGAAAACTAGCAGCAGCATCCCCGCCCGGCGTGGCGTCGGGGGGGGGAGAGGGATCCCCGGCCGCCCCCACCCAAGTCTCCCGGGCCCCACGCCGAGGGAGGACCCGGCAAGGGTCGGCGCTCACCAGGTAGCAGAGAAGGAGCAGCGCGCAGGCAGGGCAGCTGCCGAGGCCGGGGGAGC